AATGCTCGCGACTGAATATTTGTTCCAAATTAGGGAAATTAAGTGCTCGCGAAAATTGGTACGAATAAAGGTATATAGAGAATGAAATCAGATGCTGAGAAAATTAATTGAACCAAAGACCTTTCACTGCGCCGACTAAATTAAGAAAGTCATAAAAATAGTGGCTAGCTCAAATAAAAAACATCAGATTGACAGATTGATAGATTTAGGTTTGCGGAAAAATTTCTCTGAAATTTCTTTAGTCTTTCTTTGCAATGAGATTTTTTTTTTTCACGTTCAGATTTATCTCGTCTTCTATTTATTTTTTGCCATGAATTCCTATCTCTATATTTTTGAGCCCTAAGAAGATTCTTGCGCATTGGATAGCCATCCTTAATACTAATAATATAACCTCCACCTGATGCCCTTGCAATGACCCTTGCATCAAACGGCATTTCACTGGTTCCCATTTGGACAGTTTTATCAGTAAAAGTTAACTTCCGGAAACGTCTGGATTGGTTCGAGGCTACAGCACTGCCACTCTATGTAGCGGACATGATAAAATGAATGTTAATGAAGTCAAAAATAGCCCTGTCATGAATAGATATCGTTGTCAGCGTAACCCGAAACTAGCCTACAAGCATTTATTATTATGGCTAATTGCATTTTGAATGCGAATATAACTTATCAGCCCGCACATTATACTAGCATAAATTCATAGTCACTATAAACTCAGGGCTGTTTAGTATTCTGTACTATATTAGTGKGAAATACTTTGCCGACTTCCAGCTGTTTTTCAATCTTTTGTCAAAAAGCCAAGCGTCACTGAACACCTGCTTGATTATAGAGCACTGAATCCATCAGCCAACTCAAGCTATTATTCACCAGCCATGTTACGACAAATCATACTGCAATGGAAGCCATCTATGACTACAATGCTGTGTTTATTTGGSCTTCTTGCTTCAGGATACTGCAGTTTCAATGCAAGGGGTATGTAGTGTACTCTCAAACTTTGTATTGATCCGGATGAATACGAGTTGTGGATATTGACGGCTTTGAATTAGACAGCCAAAAAGAAAAMTTTTTGCTATGTAGGCTCTAGGGTAATATAGTACAGATCAGAAAAAATTGCAGTCTATTGTACAAACAAGGTCACTCATATAAAACAGATTAAATATCGATAGCAAATTTTAAAAATAACAATTTTTGAAAACTTCTAAATATTTATTTAGGTTGTTACACATCCTGTATGAAGAACTTTTCTTCAAAGATTATTGATCGTTTATTTTTTACGACTTTTGAATCTGAATTTGTTACTATGGATTTCCATGTAGTTAAGTGGGTATTATAAAGATTGCGTCTATATTTTTACAGACATCRATATTCTAATTTTACCATTATTTACATTTGACGCTACTCTATCTTAGCTATAACTATTCATTGATTGGATGGAAAACAACAGCCTTTGTATTTTTTTTTTAATGTAATGCAATATTGCAATACCCTTCCAGCCGAGGGGAAATTCACGAGAAGCTGAATTTGAATGGTATACAAAAGCAATAGCATCATTCGGTCTCTCTACACCGAACGGACACACCGGATATAGGGAATCGAGTTATTCTAGTTTAACTAATCTCTTTTGCATTTCAATTTATGTTTGTTTGTTTGTTTGTTCTTTAGGTTGGGGGGATCACATCGATTGGAAAACCCTTGAAGAAGGCAAATTAGAGGCACAAAATAGGTATACATAACGNTAAGAAATGGAGAGAATTATAAATGTCAAAAATGCTTTATATGATGGATTTTTATACACTTTCAGCCGTAAACCTATGATGATTGTGGTTCACAAAAGCTGGTGCGGTGCTTGTAAAGGTTGGTATCCTTAGGCAGGGGCAGAAGCAGCAATTTCCAATTTTAATTGGAAAGGGGGAGACGGCGCGTCGACAAAAATTATGAAAAATGGCACAAAATTTTCATAGGAATTTGCCTTTGCTTCCGCAACTCCGAAAGTTGACATGTTAAACATGCATGGTTTTATTTGTCGATGTTTTCTTGTTGCCTTTTTTAGTTTTTGTTGTTGTTGTTGTTGTTGTTGTTGTTGTTGTTGTTTGTTAAGCAAATCAGCAAACGGGGGGCCGCGGCCCCTTCAACAAGCCCCCCCCCCTCCACAATCCTCCTAGATCCGCCCCTTTTAGGTCCTGACAAAAGAGTTATATGTAAAGGAGACTTTTTACGGTTCTAGTTACACTCAAATATGACAAGCCGTGTGGTACACTTATCTATTTTATTTTAAACAAGATTTAACTAGGATCAAGTGAAATAAAGTAATTCAATTAAACGCATTCTCAGCTTTGTTATCAGACATTCTACCAAGACCCATTATCCCTTGTCATGTACCCCTAACTAGCAGTTCTTTTCAACAGTGATTTTCTGCAATCTAGAATATTTCCATTTTAGCATTGAAACCAAGGTTTTCGACGTCTTCTGAAATTGCTGACCTTAGCAGAAAATTTGTAATGGTTAATCTAGAGGTAAGAGTTTGTTGGCTGGCTAGCTGCCTTGCCTATCAGGTCCTATCAGTATACTGTAGGTGACTGACTGGTGTTGGAATATAATTATAATGCAAGTCTTTTCATCTAGGACGAGGAAGAGCCAAAAGATCAACAATATCACATCGATGGAAGTTATATTCCTAGGATTTTCTTTTTAGGTATGCTTGTTTCTACCTGCGAGTGTTTACATAGCTACATTCTGGAAGTTRTCATTCCAAAACTTCATCTGTGATTGCAATCGCACTTGACGAACTACCCTTTGCTATCGACGATACGAAAAATACCTATTCAATTAGATTATAATTTTTGATAATTGTGTCTGTGTGTCTGCAGCTGCGTTATTATTAGAAAACGTTAAATACTAAAGATWGTGTATTCCAAGACCTCACATATATTGTGGGTCCATTAATCGCAAAAATGATTTTTATTGAGTCAAGGAGACTGTTAGAAAAAGCTCCGTTCATAACTTGAAAGCAATCAAGTTAAGAATATTGTCATTTTGAAACTATGCCGGCGCTTGTAACGTGAACTTTGATTGCAACAATGCATTGCGGTCTTGCAATGTACAAAGAGACAAAGAGGAAAAAGGACTTATGCAAACAGCGACAAAAACAACAACAGCAAAGTTTGCGTTGAATAATCAACTTTTGATAGTCAGCTCCTGGATTTAAAAGTTATGTGCATGACAGAACTTAAAGAAGGGCTGACGGGAAAGGATTGTATATTGTATCCCAGAGACTAGCTCATGCAGGTCTCCGACATTATGCTCCAACGCCAACTTACAGTCAAAAGACATGAACCGCGCCCCCCGAATAGTTCGTTATATAACACATGAATGCATCAGCTTTTCCAGTTTAAACCATAAAATATCGTCTTTACAAAGAGAGACTTTTCCATTTCAGACTCTTTTGGAGTGGTCCAGAAAGACATAACGAACAAAGGAGGAAATCCTTCATATAGATATTTTTATAGCAATGCAGAATCAAGTAAGTATTCATACAATGATTCTATAATTCAGACCATACGCACTGGAAAAAGATCGAGCGCTTTAAAAGGTTGTAAATTTGATGTAAATATGATGTAAGTGTCCAAAATGATGTAATTTTGATGTAAACCATTTACATCAAATCAACAACCTTTAAAGTGCGCGATTTTTTTGGTATACTTCAAACTTTTGACATCGTCACATGGGGAAAGACGTAATTGGTCCATAATTTCAAAATGACACGAGTACATCCATCTCTGCATCTTTGCCTTAATCGGTGTCAAATGAAAAGGTATATTTTAGGACAAGAAAGAGCTGTGCAAAATAAGACTTATTAAAAAAAGAATTATGAAGTGAAAATAGCAGTATAGAGAAATTCGAGCTAAATTATAAGATACTAAGAAGAGGTCGATAGAAATCAATAATGAAATTGAAAGTATAAGATAAAAGAATTGAATCATTTTTTTCATAAACAACGAATTATAACAACGATTAAACAAAAGAGTAAAGAAACAAAGAAAAACAAAGAAAAAAGCTGAGGTTGATTGCTTCAAACTGCATCAATAGTTTGCGAGCTGCAACCCCTGAGCTTCTGAATGGCAAAAAAAACGCCAAAAACGATGACACATTGTAGATATTTTTGAAAAACCGCCTTTTAAAATTGATATTTTCGAAAACGTGTTTTGAGAACGATGGTCATTTTCGTATAACCGCAAATAAGAATTGACGAAATGTCCGCAAAATATACCGCGAAGTAGCCTGTTAAAAATGCTATCAATCTCGTGTCCGYTCAGGAASAGCCGACGGGGCCTGTTCTTCTAAATAACTCTGTCTCTTTACATGTATAGCGTTTGTTTTGTCATTATTTTATACATTTTATCATTGGAACTGATTTAGTATGTTTTAGGGGCTAAAAATTAGTCAGCCACGCCCTTTTTTCAATACTTCCGGGATCTTTTGGGGTCTTTTTTGAATAATTCCAACGAGCATCCCCAGTACGTTTGCCTCGGAGTCCCCTCTCACACTCCCCGAGTGGTCATGCATGCAGTAATCAGTTATATCATCAACGGTCCTTATYTTAACCTTCCAGTTGTCACGTCAATGAAGACAGCACTCGAACAGATGACCAAAGACATCCATCAAGCAAAAGAATTGTGAAGGAAGCTCAGCTTGTCATTCTTTATTTCAAATTAGAAAACAATATTATAGCTAACAATCAGAGTAATTTACACAATTGGGTCACCTGAACCTATCATCATTTAAACTAGAAATCAAGAAGTTTCCTTCGCTGGATTATCGTTGAGCTCCTGGAATCAACACGGCTGTGAAGGAGTTTAACACAATGTAGGATCAAATAATACTTTCCGAAACAAAATATTGGAAAATTCCTTCTGCATAGTATTTTAAGTTGCAATTTTTTATTTCTAGCTTGATAGAAAAAAATGCGTTGACTAAAACGATTACTAATAACAATAATAACTTATTAAGCATTATATATAATTTAAATGCTTTACAGGATAAAAATTCATATAAATATTCAKATATAACTATTTCAAATAARGTTGTCGGATAAAWTARMWARYAWA